GAAGGAGTAAAACCAATTTATCAAGTTTCCTTATTAGTGCTAGTTTAAGGACTTGTTAATATGTTTTGAATTAAGACCCTGAAAAAGGATATTATATTGAAGATTTAGAGAAAGAAAAGGGGCTCTTCATCTTCAGATACTATCTAGGAGCTATTGGATAGGTTTTTTAAAGAATTTCTCAAAAGTGTTGTCATAACAGATATAACTAATTAAATGGGCAAATAGGAGCTGGCAACTTATTTTCAAAAGCCTCCACTGTCTTAAATATAGTCTGATAAGTGTGTACCTGAATTTCTAGGCAGATGGATTCTATGCTCCTTAAGGAGATAAGCTCAAGTGAGGAAAAATTTAAGGAACAGAATGGTATGGGGATTGCTGTTTTGTGAAGACAGTTTGAAAAGATGGTCTATTTCTCCTTGCAAGATGGCAGTGAACAAAAAGATGTGAATTGATAAGCCTAAGGTGATCAAGATTAATTGCAATTTTGTCTAAATCTCTGAAGAATCAGCATTGAAAACGTGCCTTGGATTTTGATTATGGTAAGTAAATTTTCTAAATTAAAGGATGGACCAATAGTCAGTTATTATTTACTTTCTAAACAATTTATAGAATATTAGGGACTCTTCTATCCACTGTCTTAGTTTATCTTCAAGTAAAACTATCAGATTGACACACTATGAGAATTAGTACAATTCACCCATTTCCATTCTTTAGATGATGGGAGAAGTAAAAGTAGCATAGTATATATGAGTGTGTATATGCAGTGTGAGAGGAGAATACTTTATGAACTTCAGCCTATTCTCTGATTATTTCCTATTACTATTATGGCAAAATATTCTCTCTCAATGCTGTTGATCTGAATCCTAAAGTGCCTAAGTATTCTATAGTCATTCCCTGTGGCTCAGCTGGTAAAGAATTCAATTCGCCTGCGAGGAGGGACACCCAGTCCTCGGGACGGGAAAATCCCCTGGAGAAGGGAAAGGCTACCCACTCCAGTATTCTGGCCTGGAGAATTCCATGAACTGTATAGTTCATGGGATTGCAAAGAGTCAGACATGACTGATCAAGACTTTCACTTTAATGTGCCTGCAGAAGAAAATAAATACTGGTGTTAGAAAAATCCAGTGTGGCTTCCCACTTTGTACCTTGATGCCACAGGTTTTCTCCTAGTTGGAAATCTGTGGACAAAACAAAAGGAGGAATTTCTATGATGCACTATGAACTCACAGTGCATCCTTAACTCTGTGGAAACAGCTCTTGTTTAAGTCTAAGTTTTGTCCAAGTTGCTTTGCTTGTTTATTTATTTAGTGTTTTATTGCTGGAGCCTGCACCAGAGGCAGGTACCCAGACTTTTCAACATATTATTCTCTTTCTTACAATGAAATCCCTTCACTCAGCAAATACTTTTTTAAAAAAATTAAAACAAGAAAAATCATCACATGCACATGAATACACACACAGACAAACCAAACTTTCCCTCTTCTAGGCAGTCAGTTTAGCACAAAACATAAAAAATAATAATACACACTACATATATGAGCATATCAATACCTTTTTTCAGAGCTCCATTTCTCAAAGACTAAGTAAGTGAAATAATGCCAGGAACCCTGAATCTGCTTATTTTAGGGCACTCATTGTACTTTTACCTATACATCTAAAACCTGTGAGTGAAGCAAAGGGTCTTTCAATCTGTTAAAGTAATGTTAAAGATTCTTCTCTAACTTTGAAGAAACTATACAGGGTGAAGATAGGATGAGAAATCAGTAATTGACAAAAATTTCACAAATCTGCATGTAAAAAGGATAAAAAAAACATTTGCAACTTCCTACAGCAGCAGAATTTAGTGGACAGATTACCTTATTAACAATTTGATACTTTTCAAACAGATTCTTTACCCAGTGAGCCATCAGGGAAGTCCTGATTTTTTTTTTCCTTAAATAGTATCCTTGTTTATTATAATCTCTACATGTTCCTTTAATCTTTAATGATCTATGGTAAACTCATTTGGTACATCCTACTAAAACACTCTGTGTTTGTGACTGTCTTTGTTGATCCCATCTCAGAATTTACCACTAAGGTGAAAGGTTTCTTTCTTTGTCTAAGAGTGTTCCTTTTCTCCTAACGCATGACTTTTGATTCTCACCCACTTTTTTTGTTTTAGTGGGACTTCAAGAGCACTGCACTCAACTGTTTACTAAGCAATACTGTTCCCAAGAATGTACCACAGTGACTCTCAGACTTTGGTTTGCATCAGAATTACCTACAGAATTGGTTAAAGCACCTTGATTCTGGGCTTCTTCCTGAGAAAGCATCATTCAGTAGGCTTGGGTGGGACCTAATAATTTGTACTTATTACAATTTCTCATGCTGCTGATACCACTAGCCCAGGGTTCACACTTTCAGAGCCACGTGCTATATATTCAGCACAGAAGAGAACACCACCCTGACCCCTGAAGTCCCAGCAAATGGAATACAGTTTTCTTAAGTGATGGTATTGGTTCTAGAAGGTTCACCTAACTCTCTTATTTCTGTTGCAATTATATCTATTATAGATACCTACCTCCTAGTTAACCTGTGTGCTAACATAAGGTATTCCTTGATACATCTATATAGGACAGGAAAGACTGGCATGCTGCAATCCATGGGGCCACAAAGAGTAGGACATGACTGAGCAACTCGACAACAACAACAATAACAACAAACCCAACCACTCAATCACATATACAAAAATCTTCAACTTTCTTGTTCCTTTTCATCCTTCTGCTTTCTTCAATTGCCCCCTCCTGAGAGAACTTCAATCTAAACTGGCAGTCTAAAATAACACCCCCTTCTCTTTCCACATTATTTATTTTCTTCACATATTTAAAATAATATTGACTCATGCATCACTTTTTATTGAGATCTTATTATTTTTTTCATCATTCTATTTCTTGGATCTTGAACATTGCCTCAGACAGTTTAATTACTGACTGAAAATGCACGCATCGAATCTGGTGGTAAGAAAGTAGCTTATAATAGACAAACCTGACAGGGCCATTATGGAGGAACTTTAAAAAAACAGGAATTCATGAGAGTTTTTAGTTTAATTTGATTTAAAGATAAGGTTTGTGAGTACCTCAAGTTTGTTTGACTGGCCTTTGTCTTCCAAGCAACAATATTCAGAATAAAAAACACTAAGTCAGAGAGAATCACTTCAGTCCTGGATCCTCCTTTCACTGATTGATGTTTAAAATAATTCTATTTATTCCCTTATGGCTGTGTTGGGCCTTTGCTGCTGCGTGGGCTTTCTCTAGTTGCAGCAAACTGGGGCTACTCTCCACTAGCAGTGTGCAGGCTTCTCACCACAGCAACTCCTCTTGTAGAGCATGGGCTCTGGAGTAGGCTGCTTTCAGTAGTTGCAGTATGTGGGCTCAAAATTGTGACTCCTGGTCTCTAGAGCACAGGCTCTGTAGTCGTGGCACATGGACTTGGTTGCTCCATAGCATGTGGGAACTTCCTGGACCAGGAGTCAAACCCGTGTCCCCTGCATTGGCAGATGCACTCTTTACCCCTGAGTCATGAGGTAAGCCTCCCTCCTTTTATAATCTATGTAAACTTAGGAAAGTTAAGTATTTGAATTTTTCATGATTAAGTTGCTTTGTCTGGAAAAACTGATTTGCTACATTCTGAAGTTTGAATTGCTACAAAATGGTATAACTGAAAATGTTCTGTAAAGTACTTTAAGTGAAATGAAAAGGTAATGAACTATAAGAAAAAAAAGTAAAAGAATTCTAAATATGCTGACTTCCTTTTCAAAGAGAGAGTAATACTGGATTGCATTTCCCCTGGTATATAAAATGAAACATGATAAAGGAAAAATATCAATACCATCTGAAAAAAAGTCTCTGAGTATAAGATTAAGTAAGATTCCTCAAAATAAATCACCGTTTTCATTGTGATTCTTTAATGTTTTATATTTCTGGAAAACTGCAGTAATCTTCCTTTGTTTATGATTAGGTTAGGAAGGAAAGTGAAAAAACTTTCAAATTGAGTTCTCTTTCACTATATTCTCAAAAATGGAACTCATAATGGGCAAAGTATCAGAAGGTGGTTGAGATGGCATGGAGTGACACAGCAGTCAAAATTCAAGGGAGAGAACACAGAGAAAACAAAAGATCTACTCTCAGATTTTGGTACTCCTCCAGAAATTACTTTTTAAGTGGAGCCAAATCCTGATTCCTTGGCAAACAAATGTCTTTTTCTAGTTTCTATAATCTCATAAATACAATGCTGAATAGTTACTGATGATCTTTAAAGTGTCTGTTCAATATTCGATGAGTTAGGAATCATTCTGTTTATATGTTATACATACGCACATAAGACAGTGAATCATAGACATTAGACAATGAATCATATTTGGGTAAATATCCATAACTTGACATTTTAGATTGCAAGTAGAAAGGCTTCATTTGTGTGCCCACATGGGAGTGTTAATGTGTTAAAGGGAACTATATTTTAGTATGTAAGAAGGTATCTCTCTGCAAAATTCTCATGTTCACCTTATTAAAGAAGTACTCACTGAAAAGTATGTGAAGGAGAGCCTGACAGGGAGTGAGGAAAACTGAACTCTGCTTTTAGATCAGACACACTAACTTCACAGGAACCTGGATTTAATTTCCCAGTAGGGATAATGTAGAGTTAGAACCAATATGGTCTCACTCCCTTTCAAGAACCATGATCCTGATTTAGGGTTAAATTTTGTTGTGTGGCTCCCAAGCCAATCTTACTACATATGCAAGATTCCTTCTAATCATTCAAACTCACTTTTTTTTTTTTAAAGGGTTCCTGATCTATGAACTAGGGGGAATACTTGGAGAAATTAAAAGGCTGTGATTATCAGAGAATCATTTTGGGGAGTCTTTTCAATGTATTAATTCATAGAACAGATTCTGACCCAGTAATCTTTTCATTCTAGGGCGTGTGATCGTATTTCTGTTTGGAATTCCACCCATCAGGTCACCATGGCAGACTCCAACCACACAGGCACTTCCTTCTTCCTCACAGGCCTGCCAGGCCTTGAGGCTGTGCACACGTGGCTCTCCATTCCTCTATGTGCCATGTATGTGGCCGCTCTGGCCGGAAACAGCCTGATCCTGTGGGTGGTGAGGTCAGAGCCCTCCCTGCACCAGCCCATGTACTACTTCCTGTCCATGTTGGCTGTGACCGACCTGGGCCTGTCTGCCTCCACCCTGCCCACCATGCTCTCCATCTACATGCTGGGAGTCAGGGAGGTGGCCCTGGATGTGTGCCTGGCCCAGCTCTTCTTCATCCACACCTTCTCAATCATGGAGTCCTCTGTGCTGCTGGCCATGGCCTTTGACCGTTTCGTAGCCATCAGCAAGCCCCTGCACTATGGCACCATCCTCACGAGTCCCAGGATGGCCAGGCTGGGCCTGGCCATTGTGGTGCGCAGCGTCGGTCTCCACATCCCAGCCCCCATCATGCTGAAGCAGCTGCCTTACTGCGGGGCTCGCCTGCTGTCCCACTCCTACTGCCTGCACCCAGACGTCATGAAGCTGGCCTGTGCTGACACCCACAGCAACAGCGCCTATGGTCTCTTCGTGGTGCTGTCCACACTGGGGGTGGACTCTGTGCTCATTGTCCTGTCCTATGGGCTCATCCTCCAGACAGTGCTGTCCATTGCATCCAAGGCTGAGCGCCTCAAAACCCTCAACACGTGTGTCTCCCACATCTGTGCTGTGCTGCTCTTCTACACACCCATGATTGGCCTGTCCATGATCCACAGATTCGGCAGACGAGCTTCCCCTTCCAGCCGCGTGCTGCTCTCTTATCTGCACTTCCTCACACCTCCAGTGATCAACCCAGTGGTTTACACCATTAAGACCAAGCAGATCCGACTGAGGATGCTGCACCTCTTCCGCTCAAATGGGACCGGCATCAGAGATGCTCAGGATCATTAAGTCTTTGGTAGAGAGAGAAAAATCATGCAAGACTCCATCATAGTTTTCTAATGAGCCAGTGAACATAAAGTACGTCCTATAATGAAGAAAAGAATACAGGGATGAGATACACAACATCTTCCACGGAAAGTTGTCAGTCATGGGAAGAAATAACCACATCAGTGACTTATTTTTCATTAAACAAAGTTCAACCTCTGTTTTAGAAGAAAAGTTCATAAAATTTAAGGCTCAAGGGGAGAATTGCCATTCTAAATGGAAAAGGGATTCTAAAGAATTACTTGCAAACTTTGCAAATGTATTAAAAAAAAAAAAAGGACATTAAAAAAAAGCTTTTCCTGGGAGTTTAGGAGAATTTGGGGCAAATAGGGTTATGAGTATGTTTGGAATTCAGTGATATTAGAAGTATTTTGGAAAATCTTCATTAAATATAATCTTCATGAGGAAATGAATTCTTTATTTATTGTTGACAATTACATCCCCTTTCTTTAACATAGTACTTTCTATTTATTAGGTGTTTGGCTTGTGTTTATTGAATTAAAGGATAAATGAATGCCTGGGTTATATTTCTGAGGAAGACTGGCAAAAATGAAGTATTCATAAGGCAATAAATGTAACTCTAGATATGTGAAAATCAAGCATAGGAATACTTCTTAGTTTCCCTTTTAGGGCATTTCAGGATTTTGCTGTTTCCCTCTATTTCTCAATATTAATTTCAAATATGGTTTCAATAGTCTGCTTTTAAATAGCAAATATCTTTGGCCAGAGTTATAATCCCATTTTTTTAATAATAAGAATGAAAGCAAGAAGATTGTTCCTTCAGAAGGCTCATAACATATAATTTTAATAAATTGAGCTTTGATCAAAACATTTTAAAAGCAAAAGTATTCATAGTAGTGGAAATATGGTAAATATCGCTACGGGCACTTTATCCTGATGTTTTTTTTTGCTGCTTTTAGGACTGCATTAATGATCTAATAGGTAAATATCCTCTTAATCATGAAAAAAAAGTATTCTCAGAAACTAGTTTTTTATGATCAATAAATTAGGGAATGAGGGAGACCAGGAGAAGATTCATGGTTCAAATTGTTGCTAATTATAACTGCAAATCATCTAATAATAAAAGTATTTTCATGTCATGAACTGTGCAATTTCAGCTTATTAGTCACTATTTCTACTGAAAAATAGGAAGCAGAGAAGTGTGATTCACCTAAGAAGTGGTATTATTTTGCCACTTTTTATGATATACCATGATAATAGTCATTCTGTAATTGATGTATTCAATACACTCACTGCACTCAATATGCCAGAAAATCTGGAAAACTCAGCAGTGGCCACAGGACTGGAAAAGATCAGTTTTTATTCCAATCCCAAAGAATGGCAATGGCAAAGAATGTTCAAACTACTACACTGTTGCACTCATCTCACACACTAGCAAAGTAATGCTAAAAATTCTCCAACCCAGGCTTCAACAGTACATGAACTAAGAACTCCCAGATGTTCAAGCTGTATTTAGAAAGGGCACAGGTACCAGAAATCAAATTGTCAACATCCACTGGATCACAGAAAAAGCAAGAGAATTCCAGATATATATCTACTTTTGCTTCATTGACAACACTAAAGCCTTTGACAGTGTAGATCACAGCAAACTGTGGAAAATTCTTAAAGAGATGAGAATACTAGACCACATTACCTGCCTCCTGAGAAACCTGTATGCAGGTCAAGAAGAAACAATTAGAACCAGATATGAAACAACAGACTGGTTCCAAATTTGGAAAGGAGTACGTCAAAAGTCTACATTGTCACCTTGTTTATTTAACTTATATGCAGATTAAATCATGTGAAATGCCAGGCTGGATGAAGCACAAGCTGCAATCAAGACTGCTGGGAGAAATATCAATAACCTCAGATATGCAGATGATACCATCCTTATGGCAGAAAGTGAAGAGGTACTAAAGAGCCTTTTGATGAAAGTGAAAAAGGAGAGTGAAAAGTTGTGTTAAAACTCAACATTCAAAAAATGAAGATCATGGCATCTGGTCCCATCAATTCATGGCGAATAGATGGGGAAACAATGGAAACAGTGACAGACTTTACTTCCTTGGTCACCAAAATCACTGCAGATGGTGACTACAGCCATGAAATTAAAAGACACTTGCTCCTTGGAAGAAAAGCAATGACCAACCTAGATGGCATATTAAAAAGCAAAAGCATTACTTTGCCAACAAAGGTCCATCGCCTAAGCTATGGTTTATCTAGTAGTCATGTATGGATGTGAGAGATGGACCATAAAGAAAACTGAGCACGAAAGAATTGATGTTTTTGAATTGTGGTGTTGGAGAAGACTCTTGCACATCCCTTGGACTGCAAGGGGATCAAACCAGTCCATCCTAAAGGAAATCAGTCCTGAATACTCATTGGAAGCACTGATGCTGAAGCTGAAACTCCCATACTTTGGCCACCTGATGCAAAGAACTGACTCATTGGAAAAGACCCTGATGCTGGGAAAGATTGAAGGCAGGAGGAGAAGGGGATGGCAGAGGATGAGATGGTTGGATGGTATCACTGACTTGATGGACATGAGTTTGAGCAGGCTTCAGGAGCTGATGATGGACAGGGAAGCCTGGCGTGCTGCAGTCCAGGATCAGACACAACTGAGTGACTGAACTGAACTGATGATGAAAATTATCCATGAGTTTCCATTAATTTTCTGATTAAACAGTCAACTCATTGGAAAAGACCCTGATGCTGGTAATGATTGAAATCAAAAGGTGAAAAGGGCAGCAGAGGATGAGACGGTTGGATGGTGTCACCTTTTCAATGGACATGAACTTGGACAAACTCCGAGAGATGGTGAGGAAAAAGAAGGCCTGGCATGCTGCAGTCCATGGGGTCACAGGAGTCAGATACAACTCAGTGACTGAACATTACTATATATTACACTATGAGTAAGAGTGTCTCAATTTATAAACCCATGTACATATAAGATAGATGCTTAGATCATATTATTGTGAATTTAGGGGAAAACAAGAGGCCTTCCTCTTTCAATAGCACTATCTATTTGCTGGAACTTCAGCTTTCATTAAATTTTTAAAAACAAGATAGTACTTCTGTTCTCAAATCATCAAACTTGCAATCATAGCATAATACAAAATGCTATTCATTCACTTGTTTATTCAATCACTCATGTCTTCACTGACTATATTTCACTGAAAGAGTTATCTTAATTTTGAGACTATGTGTTTCCTGAATGTTTTTAGTAAAGTGTATTTTATGAATATAATGTTACTCATAATAATCTTAAGAAACATTAGAGGATAATAATATGTAAAGTCAAAAGTTGGCTAGAATATTTAGTTATTCATTTACACATTTTTCTTTGTGAGTGAAATGAAAAGTCTAAGATTCAATATTTTAAATATATTTCTGTTAGCCAAGAAAATGGTAAAACTTTTCATTTTTTGGAGCAGAAGCATTATAATAGATGTGTTCAGCAAGCAGACACTAAAAATATATTTTGAATTTGAAGGTTTTATAGAATTGCTATAGTTAAATGTTATTTTTATGACATACAGCAGATGATAATGTTCACATTTTCTTCTAAAATTTATTTCTATTAATTTTATTTTTCTTATCTACTTCAGGAAATATTAACTAAGTCTGATGTTCATATATCTTGCTTTATTTTTACTTGATATCCCTTTGGTCAAAGTGAATATGCTGAAGGAAAAGGGTAATTAGAAATAGAATTAAGAAATAAGAAAAAGAGGGATGGGAACAGACATAATTGAATTTAAACTAGGCAAAAGAAATAAGTCATGTGAAGACATCCTTCACATGCTTGACATTTGAAATGGAATTTTAAGTTAATAATACCTCTTTTGTTATATGAAATGTGGGCTTATGACAGGTGGAATCTTTCTCTCCAAGACTTCTTTAAAACTCCAATAGAACTAGTTCTTCTATATCCAATGATTGATTCATTTCTTAATCAATTATGCATTCAATAATTATTAAGTTCATAATTTAACTAAACTAGTGCTCACTCTCACAAGTAGCAAGGTGCATGAGAAATAGTTCCTACAGTAGATAGAATAAGATTTGAGAAAACATATTACTTATTATTAAAACCAATATACATACTGAAAGTTATAAAGCATTCTTAAAATCTTTTTTTCTGCTTAATTTACTTGTCTTTGAAAAAGTGTAGACATGTGAATTAAGAAATGTCAACGAGAAGTGTGTTTTTTATACAACTCTATGCACACCTGCTACTAGATCATTTGAGTTATATGAAAAGAGTTTGTATGCTAAAAGAGTTCTGGGCAAAAAGATTTATATTTTATTTCTTGGTATCACAAATGTAAGTGGCTATACCTTAGTGACTTAGAATTTTTATATTTGAATACTATATCCTAAATTATTCTTAGATACATTTAATCCAATGGATTATAAACACTGACTTCACAAGACATTATCTCAGGGATTTCAAAAGGTTCTGAGTTGCAGATTTCTGTAAGAATAAAATTATTTCTAAAAATTAAGTAAAAACAAACAGACTATGAAGGTTGACTTTTTCTATTCCTGGTGAAACTAAATTTCCTCAGAAAAGACTGAACACGTGTATAAAATTTTAAAATATGCTACTGATGTACCATGAAAATAGATAAAATGCTGTGAGCTCTAATAAACTCTTACATCAACATATGATTTTTTTCAATCTTTAATAAAGGTAACTTCAGCAGATTTATAAAGACACTTATCAGAAAGGTAATATAATAATCATGGACATATACAGTATGTTAAGAAGCAAAAAAAAAAAAGTGTTATTCTAGAATACTCAGGGAAAACATCATGGATGTTTAAACATCATGGATGACTTAATCACAATTAAGATTAGAAATGAGAGACAATAGATGGAAATGATTTCCAAAACTCCAGTCCAACAATTTCATACTTAAAGGAGATTTATGAAGCACATGCTAAGTCAGTCTTTATAATTCCAGTGAACATAAACTCTCTCCTTTAGATCTACTGTCAGTTCTATTTCTGTTTATAAAGTAATATTTTATTGGTAACTCTGGTGCCAACATAGAGTGCAGACATTCACTATGTATTTTCACACTTAGGGTTGATGCCATCATTGACTTGAGGACGTGTCTACATCATAGAAGAATTGATTCTTAGGGGGAAAAGCAGGTTGAGAATTCCTTGGCGGATCTGCCTGGTCTTCACACTATAGATGATTGGGTTGAGCACAGGTGGAACTAGCAGGTAGATATGTGCCATGAAGATGTGGATGAGGGGGGATGAGTGTTTGGCAAAACGATGGACAATAGAGAGCCCAATCATAGGCACATAAAGAATAAGTACAGCACAGATGTGAGATGCACATGTGTTAAGGGCCTTAAATCTCCCCTCCTGAGATGAAATTTTTAATACTGAGTGAAGGATGAAAACATAAGACACAAAAATACCCAGAGAGTCCATTCCCCACAGCAAAGTGATCAGAACTAACCCATAAATAACATTAAACTTAGTGTCAGCACAAGCAAGGCGGATCATGTCCTGATGTAGACAGTAAGAATGAGAAAGGATGTGGGAGTGGCAGAAGGGAAAGAAAGCCAGCCGGGCCAGAAGTGGAATCATGGCAAAGGCACTTCTAAGCAGGGCTGCAATTCCAATTTTAGTGATAAGTGTTGGAGTGAGAATGGTAGCATATCTTAGTGGGTGGCAGATGGCCACATATCGGTCAAGGGCCATGGCCAAGAGCACAGATGATTCAGTGAAGGAGAAAGTGTGAATGAAAAACATTTGGACCACACAGGTGTTGAACTGGATCTCCCTGGAAATGGACCACAACACCCTGAAGAGTGATGTCATTGTGGGCAAGGACATGCCCATGTCAGTGAGAGAAAGCATGGCCAAGAAGTAGTACATGGGCTGATGGAGCCTGGGGTCTGTCCGGACAATATGTAGGATAGTACAGTTACCCATGATTCCAACAAGGTAGAGGAGACAGAATGGGATGGAAATCCAGTGGTGAAATTCCTCATATCCAGGGATACCTGTGAGATAGAAGGTGGAGGAGAGGATATTGCTGGAGTTTGCAGTTGCCATAAGGCTTGTTGTTAAACCACAATCCAGATTCACAATCACCCTCCAGAGGGGGAACAAATGAGAAGATCAGCACCTGTGTCACAAAAACAAAACAAAACTTCAGAGTGTCCTATAATCACTCCTATATTTACCCTCACAGTTTTGCTTTGTTTTTCTTCATTTCATTGCTGAGTGTCATCAATTAAGAAAAACATTCACTTTTATAACTATAAGGACTTTCCCTTCTCCTCAGATGAAGAACTATTAACAAGCTGTCTGAATATACACATTTTCCTTCAAAGACACTGCCCCCAGAGCAGCACACACAAAACCATTATAGAGTACATTATTAATTTTATACTTTTCTTTAGAACAATCTTGGCCAGAGTTACTGGTCTTATGTGCTATGCTGTGCTTAGTCGCTCAGTCGTATCGGACTCCGTGATTGCATGGACTGTAGCCCTCTAGGCTCCTCTCTTCATGGGGATTCTCCAGGGAAGAATACTAGAGTGGATTACCATGCCAAAAGGAATCTTTCCAACCAGGGATCAAACCCAGGTCCCCCACATAGCAGGCAGATTCTTTACCATCTGAACCACCAGGGAAGTCCACTGGTCTTATGCTGCTGCTGCTAAGTAACTTCAGTCATGTCTGACTCTGTGCAACCCCATAGACGGCAGCCCACCAGGCTCCCCCGTCCCTGGGATTCTCCAGGCAAGAACACTGGAGTGGGCTGCCATTTCTTTATACTAGACCTTTAAAAACAAATGACTTCTAGGTTGCTTCCATGTCCTGGCTATTATAAACAGTGCTGCAATGAACATTGGAGTGCACGTGTCTCTTTCAGATCTGATTTCCTCAGTGTGTATGCCTAGAAGTGGTATTGCTGGGTCATATGGCAGTTCTATTTCCAGCTTTTTAAGAAATCTCCACACTGTTATCCATAGTGGCTGTACTAATTTGCATTCCCACCAACAGTGTAGGAGGGTTCCCTTTTCTCCACACCCTCTCCAGCATTTATTGCTTATAGACTTTTGGATAGCAGCCATCCTGACTGGCGTGTAATGGTACCTCATTGTGGTTTTGATTTGCATTTCTCTGATAATGAGTGATGTTGAGCATCTTTTCATGTGTTTTTTTGCCATCTGTATGTCTTCCTTGGAGAAATGTCTGTTTAGTTCGTTGGCCCGTTTTTTGATTGGGTCATTTATTTTTCTGGAGTTGAGCTGGAGGAGTTGCTTGTATATTTTTGAGATTAATCCTTTGTCTGTTGCTTCATTTGCTATGATTTTCTCCCAATCTGAGGGCTGTCTTTTCACCTTGTTTACAGTTTCCTTTGTTGTGCAAAAGCTTTTAAGTTTCATTAGGTCCCATTTGTTTATTTTTGCTTTTGTTTCTAAAATTCTGGGATGTGGGTCATAGAGGATCAGCAGACGAATGGATGAGGAAGCTGTGGTACATATACACCATGGAATATTACTCAGCCATTAAAAAGAATTCATTTGAATCAGTTCTAATGAGATGGATGAAACTGGAGCCCATTATACAGAGCAAAGTAAGCCAGAAAGATAAAGACCATTACAGTATACTAACGCATATATATGGAATTTAGAAAGATGGTAACGATAACCCTATATGCAAAACAGAAAAAGAGACTCAGATATATAGAACAGACTTGTGGACTCTGTGGGAGAAGGCGAGGGTGGGATGTTTCAAGAGAACAGCATCGAAACATGTATATCTAGGGTGAAACAGATCACCAGCCCAGGTTGGATGCATGAGACAAGTGCTCAGGCCTGGTGCACTGGGAAGACCCAGAGGGATGGGGTGGAGAGGGAGGTGGGAAGGGAGACCGAGATGGGGAATACATGTAAATCCATGGCTAATTCATTTCAATGTATGACAAATACCACTGCAATGTTGTAAAGTAATTAGCCTCCAACTAATAAAAATTAAAGAAAAATTAAAAAAAATAAAAGTTTATGTTGTATATCAAAACAAAAAAAACCAAAAAAAAAAAACAAATGACTTTCTACAATACTCCAGTATTCTTGCCTGGAGAATCCCGTGGACAGAGGAACCTGGCATGGGGTCGCAAGAATCAGACACGACTTAACGACTAAAGAGAGAGAGAGAGAGAGAGAGAGAGAGAGAATGACTTACATGAATGTCTTTGAGCTTGAAAGATTTTTCAGCAATACTCAAATATCATGCAAGGCATCATTACAGTATTCAGGCAAGATTTGGTCAGGATGGTTCTTATTCTTACTAAACATAAGTTTGACTACATAATTGATACCACAGGGATGGTATCCACATGTGTATGCTAAGTTGCTTTAGTCAAGTCCAACTTTTTGAGACCCTATGGACTGGGACCAGGCAGGCTCCTCTGTCCATGGGATTTTTCAGGCAAGAATACTGGAGTGGGTTGCCATTTCCCCCTCCAGGGGATCTTCTTTAGCCAGATATAGAACCCACCTCTCTTAAGTCTCCTGCATTGGCTGATAGGTTCTTTATCACTAGTGCCACCTAAGGATTATATCCACATAGAGTCAACTCTAATATCAATATGTTCTGTGATAAGCATCCCCCTGAGGTAAATACAGGTTAAGATGATTTTGAAGAATATGTGGATTTTAAAACTTTTAATTATAAAATACATAATATATGGAATGTTAAGCAAATTATAATTGATTTTGAATCTGATTTGAAAGATTCAGAACATTCTTCCTCTTATGTTCCAGAACTGATTAATCATTCAGACACTTTTTTTTCTATAAAAAATTGCAAACAATAGTTATAGGGGTTGTTGAGAGATTAGAAACTTATCCATCAAAGCAAAAATAAGAGAAAACAACAAAAGTAAACTGCATAAAAAATGCCTACTGCCATCTGACCTTCACACTAAAACTTTTATGCTCAAATGAGAAAATATATCTTCCCCCACTAGATTCCAGGATTTCTTCTGTGGTCAAGAAAGACATCTCTGTATTAAGAAAGGTGAGCCACTTCTCAAAACCCACTTGCTCATCAACCGCCCAGCCTCCATGCTCACCAAAATATAGGTTTAAGAATTTAAAGTCTATGGGACAAATTACCTTCCACTGTAAACTAATAAATCAGCATCTTCTGTCCTGGAAAGTCTCTTTTGATGTTCTGGGAAATGAAATCCCCTCAGTCTCCTCTAGTTCCATGTAAATAAACTTGATTATAGAAGATATTTCCCCAAATTGTTTAATAATTTTCTAAGAAATGCAAGATACATAATCAAAACATCAAATAAGTAAATTCAAGAAACAAATTCAATCTTCCTGACCGTTCATATTACACTTAAGTTCTAGCCACTTACTGTATGAACTGAAACTTCTTATGGCCCTGCTTTAATTTAACTTCTCAAATTCCTGTCTATATCCTCAACTTCCTATCTAAAATTGCACTGGTTATTACTTTCAATGCTCAGATTTTCCAATATTATCCCCTCTTTTTGTTGATTCTTTCCCAATTTATATTCTATAATCAAAATTTAAAAATATGGTTTTTATCTCACTGCTTAGTCAATTCAGACCATTTTTAGGATTTTATAAATGTTCTCTCCCATTGACATGAAGTAGAAAACATGAAGTTTCATTGAGAACTGAAAGATACCTGATCTAGAGGTCATCTTTCATCATATCACTGACTTTTTTCTGAAGTTTTAAATAGACAGAAAACCTCTTGATGAAAGTGAAAGAGGAGAGTGAAAAAGTTGGCTTAAAGCTTAACATTCAGAAAACTAAGATCATGGCATCTGGTCCCATAACTTCATGGGAAATAGATGGGGAGACAGTGGAAACAGTGTCAGACTTTATTTTTTGGGGCTTCAAAATCACTGCAGGTGGTGACTGCAGCCATGAAATTAAAAGACACTTACTCCTTGGAAGGAAAGTGATGACCAACCTAGATAGCATATTAAAAAGCAGAGACATTACTTTGCCAACAAAGGCTCATCTAGTCAAGGCTGTGGTTTTTCCAGTGGTCATGTATGGATGTGAGAGTTGGACTATAAAGAAAGCTGAGCGCTGAAAAATTGACGCTTTTGAACTATGGTGTTGGAGAAGACTCTTGAGAGTCCCTGGACTGCAAAGAGATCCAACCAATCCATCCTAAAAGAGATCAGTCCTCAGTGTTCATTGGAAGGCCTGATGCTGAAGCTGAAACTACAGTACTTTGGCCATGTCATGTGAAGAGTTGACTCAATGGAAAAAGCCCTGATGCTGGGAGGGATTGCGGGCTGGAGGAGAAGGGGACAACAGAGGATGAGATGGTTGGATGGCATTACCAACTCGATGGACATGGGTTTGAGTAAACTCTGGAAGTTTGTGATGGACAGGGAGGCCTGGTGTGCTGTGATTCATGGGGTCACAAAGTCAGACACGACTGAGCGACTGAACTGAACTGAACTGATGTAGAATCTGTTTCTCTGGTTCTGCAATCACATTAGCTTAAGTTATATTCTGGTTTCAAAGTTTACTCACTTTAATTTAGATGAAATGACTCTATTTTTCTCTTTACCAAAGTTGCTTTCTCTTTAAACTGAAGATACTAATAATTTGATGGGATGTGCTAATGTGAAGGAGATATTATGTGTAAAATACTTGGTACAGAGCCTTTTCTGTGATGATGATAGTGATGAAAATGAGAACAATGATAATGACAACATCAACAATGATGATGATAACAATAACACCAACAGTGACTGAAGTATAATGAGAGGATGAAGACAAGGGAAGACTATTAAGTATTCTCCTCTAGAGGAAATACCATGAGTGGCATCTTACAAGTGACCTAGATGCTCTGAGAAGTAGAAAATGAACTGTATCAATTTAATCTCCTTTTCCTCCACTAAAATTTCAGTATAGCAAGAAATATGAATTGCTCCTTAGTATTTTTTTCTATGCAGAAATTCCTCTGATCATCATGATGAAACTACATATACACATTTAATTTTAATCAGTACCAATATTGGGGGGTGGTAAGAAGAGTCCAAAATAGAGTGAGAAATCTCACCAAGAGTAAGAATGAGATTTTGGGGACTTCAGTGAACTGGAGCCTGAA